TTACCATCATTATATAAACTCAGGATCAATCTTTGAGTTGCGGACAATACATGAGAGGCTGACTTATTGTTATGGATAGAGTGGGAGCTCGATCTTTTGAAATGTCGACTGAAAGACTATTCCAATACAACGATATAATTAGAGGACCACCACCTCCTCATCTCCTAAAAAAATTGAGGGAATGACGTTGTACTTCGGCATCAATCTCACATATTACAAGCTAATCCAACAAGTGAGTACACAATTATCAAAATAGGTAAGGATGAGGAAGACCAGACCACCAACGATATGCTTGACTTGATCGAGGTAAATTAAATTTGAAAAAAGTACGATCAGTGATAATATAAAATTTGTGCTATCATCAATTAGAATTGGATTTTAATACCATGCATGCACGGTTTATACTGGGTTATATTCTTTAATATAATTCACATAATGGTCGATTAAGGGAGCTACGTGTTTGATTAACACACTTGGTTGTGATCAAGAGAGCCGATGATTTAATTATTAAAATTGTAATTAATTATTTAACTATCATATTCAGCATCCCGCCACCCTTGCAACAGAGCTCCTGTTATCGGAGAGAATTCCTCAGACACAATTAGTGTATGGTTTAATGGCGTGGTCAAGCGTGGCCAAGGGGTAGTATTGGCTTCGTAGGCTTCCAAGCGACATGTTAATATTCTTTTTTTCCTTCGGAAAGTATTATGATGGAATACGCGTTCCATTTGTAATGGCAAGTTTAGCATTACGAGATGCCATACACTAGTGCATAACACACTCTTTTCTTTTCTATCAAATTTCATGGGAATTCTCAAAAATTGATTCGGCGGATGGTGGACGGTGACTTGGCTCATGATCGGGATGGAGCTATCTTGGAGGATGCTCGGAGCTTGATTTTTCTCTTTAGCTGGGTTTCTTACTGTTTTATTCCCTGTGGACTCAAAAGGCCCTCTCATTGGTAGTTTGACTATTGGTCGACTCCTGCTCTCTTCTTATTTCCTCTATATGACTGAACTTATAACACTTTATTTAATTCTTTCACTGCATGCGTGAAAGTATGGACGATTTGATTTGCATTGAATATGGAAGTTTGCTTTCTTTCCCACTAACTTGCAGTGAATTATATTTTCCGAAAATTTTATCTATAATATATATTCACAAATTATGATTCGATAAAACCACCCCATATGTTGTACTTTTGAATGTCAATAATCTAAATTTATAGTGCTGATGTAGGAGAACAAGAATGACACTACTTATGGTGGATTTAGTGAATACGGTGCTAGAGATGATGAAGATGATGATGATGATGTTAAGAAGAGGAAAGATATTGTTCATGAGGAAGGTATAAAGATTGGTGATGGAGAAAAAGAAGAAATCAAAGATGATATTCGTAACTTGGACGAGGTAAATTCTACTCTAATGAAAAAGAAGATTTCTATTTGCAAATATATTTTACCATCAAATTTTTGTGCTCAATGAAATGAAGGAAAACAAGGAATAACTAAAATTCAAAAGAAGAATAAAAAGTCAATTGATATTGGAGATAAATGTGTCGCGAATGGATATGAAGACATTATCGATAGTGACGATAAGGATGTTGCTCATGCAGGAGGAAATGCAAACAGTGAAAAAGAACACATGCAATAATAATATTAGGGGTGACTATACTGTATGATGCGGTTAAATTGACCCAAATTGATTCGGTTTAGGTTCCGTCTTTTCGAAAATATACGGACCAAAGATTGGATTGGATATAGTCTGGTCTTGACCCGGTCCGGTCCCAATTCAGTCTTGATTTTAGATTGAACTTGTGGGGTTTGAGTGGCCTGAGACATCAAAGGGTGAGGAGTTGGTTAAGTTTTGGGTGTTGGGCTCTCTTATATGGTCTTTATCCGATTTTCGGTACGATTCCGAACGGTTTTACCTCAAATCTAAGCTCGAAGATGGGATTGGATTGTTTGCTATCCAGTGCTAGTCCGGTCTCGATCAGGGTTATACGGTCCAGTTTCAGCTAAAACCAAAAAGCCCGGACCAAATAGCTACCACTAAATAATATCTGATGATGAGGAATAATTACAAGGGCCATTTGAATTGGTATTCAGTTCCCTTGCATATTAATAATTTGATTTCTCTTATTCGGGAATATACGGACCAAAGATTGGATTGGATACAGTCCGGTCTTGACCCGGTCCGGTCCCAATTTGGTCTTGATTTTAGATTGAGTTTGTGGGGATTTGAGTGGCCTGAGGTATCAAAGGGTGAGGAGTTGGTTAAGTTTTGGATGTTGGGCTCTCTTATCTGGTATTTATCCGGTTTTCAGTCCGATTCCGAACGGGTTTTTTACCTCAAATCTAAGCTCGAAGATGGGATTGGATTGTTTGTCCATGCAAGTCCGTTATCGATCAGAGTTATACGGTTCGGTTTCGGTTAAAACCAAAAATCCTGAACCAAATAGCCACCACTATATAATATATGATGACGAGGAATAATTACAAGGGACATTTTAATTGGTATTCAGTTCCCTTTGCATAATAATTTGATTTCTCTTATTCTCCTAATCGATTTGAATGCTTAGAGTATGCGATGAACATTAATTTTCTTATACTAATCTGAAACTCAAATACAAATTGCTACGGTTATTTACGTGATTGACAACAGAATCCGACTAACTTACCGGGCCCGTTACTAATATATATGTATATATGGTTCAGGCTAGCACACATCAGCCGTACATTGTACGCCCGTCGAGTTTTACTATTTAGAGCACGAATTAATTGGAGTTTGGGGCATGATACAATACCCTAACCTCTAATGGGTGAACCCCAGCTCCTAATTCTCTAAACCAAGCCACAAGATTCATTTAATCTAAAAAATCCTATACCCTAACCTCTAATGGCAAGGCTAGCGTACGTTAGGCGTACGCTGTACACATGTGTTCACACTTAGTTTTGCACTTCAATATATTTCGTTGAATCAGAACCGTCGGTTATTATTTTTTTAGACTAAATGAATCTTGTGGCTTGGGTTAGAGAATTAAGGACTGGGGTTCACCCATTAGAAGTGGGTAGAGTATCATACCGCAAACTCCGGTTAATTCGCGCTCTAAATAGTAAAACTCGTACAATTTACGCCTTACGTATGCTAGCCTATATATATATATATGGGGGAGGGGGGAGTTCTACGGTACACATGGTGAAATCCGGGGTACCGCATTCCTTGAGTAAGAAAACGTTATCCAGAACTTGAATTGACTGATCTTTCGGACATGATACTATACTCTAACCCTTAAAGATCAAAATCTAGGTCTTAATTCTCTAAATCTTATACCCCAAGATCAATTTAATTAGAAATAATAATCGACGGTTATGATTCGTCCAATATAGGCAAAAAAATCAATGCACCATCTTAGGATTTATAGTTTATGATTTAGATAATTAGGACGTAGGGTTCACTCATTTAGGGTGAGGGTATAATATCATGCCCAAAAACCCTGCTAATTCGAGGTATAGATAGCGTTTTCATACTCAAAGTATGTGGTACCTCGGATTTCACCCGGGGTACCATAGAAGGCATCATGTATATATATTATATTTTATAGATTTAAATGTTTCACCAACAATTTTATACAAGGTAATCGTAAATCAACGCACAGGTTAAAAAAAATCGTAGAATCATAAAAAAATCCTTCAGTAATCAATACCGTAATTCTGTTATTATACTGGATTGATTATAAATAAAATAAAAACTTCGTGTTGCCATCTAGGTTGTCAAACCCTTATTCGATCGGTCGTTCCTTCTGAAACCGGCATGAAAACGGCTCCAGCCAGCCATATTTTAGACTAGCTGACAACTTCTCAAAACTGGTCAAAATCGTGAAAACTCGGGGTCTAACCGGTTTTAGCGGCTCTGACTATTGATTGAATCTAACTTCTACCCTAACTCTTACTTCCCTATTGTCGAGCGAGCTAGTCGTCAACAGCCGCTCTCGTCTCTCCCAAATCCACCTCCGTCATTCCGCGGGTTCATGGGTATCCACGGGTTTTTATCGTAAAAAAATTACAATAACAAGTTCCTATCAAAATTAAAGTCAAATATCAATCTCTCAATACAAATTATCCATATATAAAACACCATTCTAGAAAATTCAAACAAATCACAAACTAACTATACAAGTTGTTCAACACCAATCTAGAAAACTCAAAAAAATTGAAACAAATCACAAATTATCCATCAATAACATGATTAATTGAAAGTTTCATCCTCCTTGTCAATTAAGTTTCTTCACTCTCCACTCGGTAACATCAACTTCATTCTACACAATTAGAAAGAAAAATTAGACTTGTCTCCACAAACAAAAATAAGATTAGGTGTTTAGAATATTAAATATACCGAGAAAATTAATTATATGGATGTGGACGGGTACCCATCGGGGGGGTTTACCTAAACCCATACCCAACCCAACTCGGTGAAAAGTAAACGTATTTAAACCCAAACCGACCCAAAACCCGTCAACACGGATTTTACCCGCGTTGACCGGGTTGGATCAGGTAGCTACCCGCAGGTTCGGATTTTGTTGTCATTCCTAGTTCTTAGGGTTTGTTTGGGCCAAAAAGTAATTAGGTGTTTTGCTTTGTTTATATGGGCTATGGGTTATTTCTTTTCATGGGTTTCTGCCCAAAAAAAGGCTTCCCAATATCAATTATCCACTTATCCTATAAAAAATAACTTAAATCGGCTGGACCCTGATCCAACCATTAAATCTCAAACCTCTTGCCAAATCCACTTGATGACTTAATTCACAACCTTGATTGTCATACATACTGAGGAAAAATAAAAGGAAAAAACAAAAGGCCATCGTGGCAGTAAGCAACAAGAAGGTTTACGAGAATGGAGCTGAAAACAGCCAGGTGATTGGTCCGAAATCTATCCACCGCATCTCCAAAGCAGATTTCATCATCCCACTTGGCTCCCTTCCTATCCATCTTTAAGATTCTCCTTCTTTTCTCCCTCTATCTGTCGTTATATCCCACCCATAAGCCGGTCCATCTCAAGTCTCAACAGAAACTAAGAAAAAAATAAAGGGAAAACAGAGTAACCCAGTAGTCGAGCGAGCGAGCATCGGGGTCGTCTCGTCTGCAATCTAATCTATATGGCTGCAGCAGCTACTTCGGGCGCCGTCCTGAATGGGACGCTGGGATCTTCCTTCCTCTCCGGAAGCAAGAAGACCCAATCTTTGTTCGCTGCCGCTTCCAGAATCGATAACAGTACCGCCGCCGCTGGTGGCAGGAAGTTGGTCATTGTATCCGCCGCTAAGAAATCTTGGATCCCCGCCGTCAAAGGCGGCGGCAACCTAGTCGACCCCGAATGGCTCGATGGCTCGTAAGTTCCTTCAATCTCTCTGCTCTGCTGCAATTCAAATACCAATTTAATCAATTAATTGAATTTGTATGTAATTGCAGGCTGCCGGGCGACTACGGGTTCGACCCGCTGGGGCTGGGGAAGGACCCGGCTTTCCTGAAGTGGTACAGAGAGGCGGAGCTGATCCACGGGCGGTGGGCGATGGCGGCGGTGGTGGGGATCTTCGTGGGGCAGGCGTGGAGCGGGATCCCGTGGTTCGAGGCCGGCGCGGCGCCCGGCGCGGTGGCGCCGTTCTCGTTCGGGACGCTGCTGGGGACCCAATTGCTGCTGATGGGGTGGGTGGAGAGCAAGCGGTGGGTGGATTTCTTCAACCCGGATTCGCAGGCGGTGGAGTGGGCGACGCCGTGGTCGAGGACGGCGGAGAACTTCGCCAACGCCACCGGGGAACAGGGTTACCCGGGCGGCAAGTTCTTCGACCCGTTGGGCTTCGCGGGGACGCTCAGCGACGGTGTCTACGTGGCGGACGCGGAGAAGCTGGAGAGACTGAAGGTGGCGGAGATTAAGCACGCCAGGCTTGCGATGCTGGCCATGCTCATTTTTTACTTCGAGGCCGGCCAGGGGAAAACCCCTCTCGCCGCTCTTGGCCTTTAGATAGAGTTTGTTGTCCCCCATTCTTCCTTCCTCTGTTCGTCCTTTTGGCTGTAGATAAATGATAAATCTGATGGTTAATCACAATTTTAGCGTGCGGTTCAAGTTAATTAGTCACGCATTGTGGCACTAATGACGATTAGAATACTGCCTGCGTAAAATATGATAATGATCGAGACAACAAGACGAGTTTAACATGGTATCCTCGATTGGTTGACTGATCGAGACAAATCCACAAGAGAGTGAAAACACTCTCCGACTGTAGCTCTTATTTATTATATGAATTGATGGCCGAAGCCTCTAGTTATATAAACATATATACCCTCTTCTACAATACGTAATTAGGGTTTCACACTCGGGAGAGGTGTTGGTTGAGATGCATGCATGGTTGCTCGTGGTTTTCAGCAGCGACCGGGCATTGATTTTGGAGACACCTTCAGCCCCGTCCTCAAGCCAGCGACTCTACGTCTCATCCTATCTCTTGCGGTATCTCACAAGTGGCAAATTCGTCAACTGGACATAGCCAACGCCTTCCTCCATGGCACCCTCTCCGATGATGTTTACATGGAGCAACCTCCAGGATTTGCCGATCTAGTGCACCCTTACTATGTCTGTCATCTCAACAAGTCCCTCTATGGGCTTAAGCAGGCTCCTCGTGCCTGGTTCCACGGCCTTCGTCAAGTTTTGGAGTCCTATGGCTTCATCGGCTCAAAGACAGATCCCTCTCTCTTCATCCTCTCCCGCGGGGCTCTTCGACTTTATGTGCTGATCTACGTCGATGATATATTACTCACAGGTAGGGCTTTTAATGAACCAAGCCGCTCATGAACGGCTCGGTGTGCGACTCGAGAAAAACTCGTTCGACACTCGATTCGTTTTAATCGAGCCGGCTCGCGAACAAGCTCGTTAACTAAACGAGCCGAACTCGAGCCATATCATGTTCAGCTCGAAAGCTCGCGAACAAGCTCGTTTAATGATTTGACATTAAAAAAGGATTAAAATTCATGGATTTTATGTATTGAAATTGGGATAAATATTGTGTTTTACTTTGCTAGACTTTGCTACAGGTTAGAATGTAATTTTGTGCGCAATTCTAGGTCAATCTTGAGCTATCATGAACATTTTATGAGCTGAACTTGAATTTGGGCTCGTTAAGCTTATTTGACTAGCCGAGCTCGAGCTTTCATTTTCATAAACGAGCCGAGCTTGAGCTTGCATATTAAAGCTCGTGACGAACACGAGCCGAGCTCGAGCCTGGAAATATATTAACGAGCCGAGCCCGAACTATGGCAAAGCTCGGCTCGACTCGGCTCATTAACAGCCCTACTCACAGGGAATCAGTCACAAGCTGTTCTCGACCTCTTGTCTTTCTTGCAGACTCGATTTGCTGTACGTGATTTGGGCAGGCTCTCATACATCGACGAGATCATCCATCGTGCTCATATGGACACAGCCAATCCACTGTCTACTCCTGCCGCTGTCACTCCTGACCCTGCAACTGATGAATCCGCTTTCCATGATGGCACTCTCTATCGGCAGATTGTGGGCGCTCTACAGTACTTGCAATTTACAAGACCAGACAATTCTCAAGCAGTCAACTTCTGTGCGCAACATATGCACACACCCCTCAATCGCCACTGGTCCGATGTCAAGCGCATTCTCCGGTATCTTCGTGGCACATCCAGCCATGGGTTATTCTTCAGTCATACCTCCTCTCTACAACTATCTGGCTACTCCGATGCTGCCTGGGCAAACTTCACTAATGATAGCCGATCCACCACTGGCTACGCCGTCTATCTTGGGGCACATCTGATCTCATGGTCATCTCGTAAGCAGCGCACTGTTGCTCGATCATCCACCAAAGCTGAATATAAGGCCCTCGCTACACTTGTTGCCGAAATAATCTGGTTACAATCCCTTATGACGGAAATTGGCTTCCCTCTCTCCTCTGCTCCCCGACTATGGTGTGATAACCTTGGCGCCACATACCTTAGCCGCAATCCTGTCTTCCTCTCTCGCAGCAAACATATGGAGATCGACTTCCACTTCGTCCGTGAACGGGTAGCTGCTAGTCAACTTGTGGTAAGCTACATATCCACTGATGATCAGGTCGCTGACCTTCTCACCAAACCGCTGCCCCGACAACGATTCCACCATTTTCGAGACAAGTTGAAGGTTCACCGCCCTTCTCCTCCACATGATCTGCACGATTGAACCTCTCCCAACAACTCGAGTTATTGGGATCAACTGGTTCTTGACATGGAAAACAAAACCTAACAAACACCGAAGGAAGCGGTCTGCCTTATCACATGGGCCTCATGTGGTCCGTCCGTGGGTTGAGCGGCATGGGCCGAACCACCATCAAATACTCCCCTGCAAGCTGGAGTGTGGAGGTTACGCACGTTCAGTTTGGACAATAAGAAGCGGAAGCGATCAACACCAAGACCCTTCATGAAAATGTCAACTAGCTGGAGATGAGAGCTAACCTTAAAAAGGCAGACAACACTAGACTGTACCCGCTCTCGAACAAAATAATAATCTATTTTCATGTTTGGTGCGCTCATGGAAAACCATATTAGCAGCGATATGGAGAGCTGCTTGATTATAACAATAGAGAGGCGTAGAACGACTCTGCGGAACACCCAACTCAGTGAGTAACCATCGAAGCCACAAAATTTCACTAACCGTACTGGTCATGACCCTATACTCCGCCTCTTCAGAACAACTGGCAACTACGCGTTTCTTCTTTGTACGCCAGGAAACTGGTGCACCACCTAAGCTGATGAAATACCCCGTGGTAGAGCAAGGAGTGCTTTAACAACCCCCCAAGTCAACATCACAATAGGTAGTAAGAGAGAGATCGCTGTCGGCTCTAAAAACAAACCTTGATCAGGGGTAGATTTCAGGTACCACAGAATACGAGTTGCATCGTCCATGTGTTCTTGATGAGGAGCAGAAACAAACTGACTGAGGATGTTAACACGGCAGGTAAGATCAGGTCGGGTGACAATAAGATAAAGCAGGCGTCCCACCAAACGATGATAAGAAGATGAATCAGTCATGACATCACCATCAACCGTAGGTCGGGTCAAGTGATGATTCTGCTCGACCGGCAAGGCACTAGGACGAGCAGTCGAAACACCTGCATCACTAAGAATGTCTAAAGCATACTTCCGCTGGCACAAGGCAACACCATACTTTGTACGAGCGAACTCCATCTCAAGAAAATACTGCAACTCACCAAGGTCTTTGATCCCAAATTGAGCATTGAAGAACTGCTTGACCTTGGCGGAAAAATCCAAATCGTTGCCAGTAAGCAACACATCATCTACGTAAATCAAAGCCACCACAAAACTGCTTCCCCAGCGGTAGATGAACAAAGAGCGGTCCGCAGGAGAAGCATGGAAACCGAGACTACCAAGTGCAGTAGTGAATTTATGGTACCAATTACGGGAAGCTTGACGAAGACCATAAAGAGTCTTATGAAGTCGGTATACCCTTGTGTTGCCAGACTGTGCAAATGCCTTAGGGATCTTCATATAAACTTCCTCCTCAAGATCATCATGGAGGAACGCATTATTAACGTCGAGCTGGTGAATAAGCCATCCTCGACTAACTACCACTGCTAATAAGCAGCGAAACGTGACGAGCTTAGCCACATGAGAAAAATTGTCATGGAAGTCAATCCCCTCAATCTGTATATACCTTTTGGCGACGAGATGAGCCTTGAAGCACTCAATCGTCCCATCCAGATAAAACTTGATTTTATAAACCCATTTAGGTTAAATAGCACATTTCCCAGGAGGCAAATCAACTAAGCTCCATGTCCCTTTTAATTCAAGTGCACAAATTTCCTTGGACATAGCCTCCCGCCACCGCGTGTCCTTCATGGATTCCTGAAAAGAGCGAGACTCGATATGTAAAGAAACCGCAGCCAAAAACTAGAATAAGTGGGGTTCGCCCCATCAAAAGTTACATAAGCTGAGATAGGATACTGATGACGAATGAGCAGAAGGAAGGCGTTGGCCCGGTGTAGCTGGGGTTTCATAAATACCCAAATGACGAAGAAGGGCCTTCACCAAATCATTGCGTCGAAGCAGATCAGGGGCCGATTCTGGGGTTGGTGATGGTGCCTGAGTACGAGGAGGATCGACATCACGAGTTGAGTCGTGCTGCGAGGAGGAAGGAGAGGGTGTCGAAGCTTCCAAAGAGGACGACTATGTATCAATCAGGAGGCCGGGCGAAGGAAGCATGGGGTCGAGAAAGCCATCGTCATCCTCATCGCGAGTCTCGAACACAGATCGAGGAACCCAATGGAAAGCATCGTCGTGACCTTGCTGGAAAGGAAAGATGTCCTCATGGAACGTGACATCACGAGTATCGAACACTTTGCGAGTGCTGAGCTCATAAGCCCTATATGCCTTCTGAGTAGCGGCACAACCATGAAACACACATGCTCACCCTCGCTCCGCAAACTTATCCAAACTAGCATGGGTATCTTTAGAGTAAACCAAACAGCCAAAGACACATAGATGGGAATAAGGAGCAGGCTTATCAAACAAGATCTCAAACGGAGTGCGTCCTGTCGCTACGGTTGGAAGCCGATTAATAAGATATGTTGTTATCAGAATGCACTCACCCTATAAGCGAATAGGTAGGCTAGCGTGGAACCGGAGAGCTCGAGCAATGTCGAGAAGGTGTCGATGCTTACATTCAACAACACCGTTCCGTCGTGGTGTGTCAGTACATGACGTTTGAAGAACAATCCTCTGCTGAAGAAAGTAGTCCTGCAACACGTGAGTGTTGAATTCAAGGTCGTTATCGGCTTGAATTCGTCGCACCTGGTGACCAAACTAAGTCTGAATCTACTGATCAAATAATATCAAGTACCAACCAACCTCAGACTTATAACGGAGCAAATAAACCCATGTGCCTCGGCTGAAATCATCCAATATAGTGAGAAAATAATAAGAACCACTAAGAGATGGACTTTATATCCACCCCAAATATCAACATGGATTAAATCAAAACAGCCCGTAGTTCGCACACTTCTAGTAAGAAAAGGAGTTCTACTTTGCTTGGCCCTCACATAAGAATGACAAGGGTACTTATTTGAAAGGAATGAAACACCTAACAATGGACTAAGCTGCTCCAACTTGGTGCTCGAAGGATGACCAAGCTTGGCATGCTAAAGAGACTCCGAAACTCGGCAACCACCAGCCACTGCGCAAGCCTGAGTATCGCCAGCACTAAACAGACGAAGATAATACAACCCATCTCGTAACTCACCCTTCCGAATCAACCTCTTGGAGCGTAAGTCC